CCTCAAAGACCTTCTGCTCCTGCTCCTCCTTTGTCTTTGAGAACACAAGGATGTTGTCTATGTAAACTACAATGAACGAACCTAGGAATTCAGAGAGGTCAGCGTTCATGAGCATCTGAAACGTCGCTAGGGCGTTGGTCAGTCTGAACGGTAGGACCCTAAACTCGTACAACCCCTACTTCGTACGAAACGCCGTCTTGTACTGGTCCTCTGGAACTACTCGAATCTGGTGGTAACCCGAACGAAGGTCGATCTTAGAAAAGACTCTAGCGCCCTGCACTGCATCTAGAAGATCCTCTACTCTCGGCACCGGGAATCTGTTCTTGACGGTGGCGGCGTTCAGTGCGCGGTAATCTATGCACATCCGTAACCCTCCGTCTTTCTTAGGCGCGAAAAGGATCGGTGCGGCCCAAGGCGATCTAGATGGCTGTATGAACCCCTGTGCGAGAAAGTGCCTAACCTGTTGCATCATCTCCTCTGCCTCTGCTGGCCTCAACCTCCACTGTGGCTTCACTACTGGCCTGCTCCCCAACTCCAACTCTATTCGATGGTCTACTGCTCGGCTGGGAGGTAACCCTGGGGGCAACTCGTCGGGGAAGACGTCTATAAACTATGCTATCAGTGCACTCACCTTAGCAAGAAGAGTCGCCTTCTCACTAACTGCTGCACTCCCCCTTTTCTCCTCCTCAGCTTCAACCTCCTCAAGAAAAAACTGCGAAGATCCGTGCCGCATGCTTCACTAACTGTCGCACACGAACACTATTAATGATAGCTGTGGATGATGTGGCCCCATCGCTCCACTGTGGCAGCTCCCGGAACTCCCCGTCTACCTTGACACTGCAGCACCCTTGAGCCCAATCGAACTGAGTACTAACCGTGCGTAGCCAATCTGTCCAGAAGATGAAATCGCATCCGTCCAGCGTCGCAGAGTCGAAATCACGCCTAACTGTGATCGGTCCTAGCACTACGCGCAACTTGCGAATGATCGGTCCTATGTGGAGAGGCGTCCCATCTACCATACGAGCGTCTTTGAAGTTAACTGATGTGTCCGCTTTGAGATGGAGACGACTAACTAATGAAGACGAAACGAACGAGTGGCTAGCTCCGCTATCGACGAGAATCTTAACAGGAACTCCGCGAAGCTTCCCTAAAAGCACAACTGGACGATCAATAGTGTCTACCCCATTCTCCGTAGATGACTGCTGCAAGGCCGTCTCCTCTACGTTGGTAGACGTGGCGGGTACGGGAACCTCCACACCAGCTAGCGACCCGCTATCTACTGGCGGTTTCCGTTTCCCTGCTGCCGCTCCTTGAACTGTGGGCAGTCCCGCTTCATGTGTCCCGGCTTTTTGCAGTAGTGACAGTTCCCCCTAAAACCCGTTCGCTGTGAGCCGTCACTGTTAACTGCACCAATCTCTTTGGGTGATGGTCCGTTCCTCGATCGAGCATCGTTGATCGGTCTGTTGTATCCCCTATCGCGATCGTCACGACCCCGTCGGCTTCGTATTGGGTCGACGCGTTCTGCTGCTGCGACAACTGACTCGAAGGTGGACAACCCGTGAATCGCTATAACCTCCGCTATGTCCGGCTTTAACCCTTCGAGGTAGCGATCACGCATCTCTGCTTCCATGATGTCGTCTATCTCGTTGTAGATGCTCAAGAGCCGTCGTGTGTACTCCTGGACGTTTCCTATCTGTCGGAAATGACGTAGACACTTCCTAGCAGCTTCGAAGGCGTTCTCCAAATCGAACCTAGTTTTTAGCGCCGCTTCAAATCCTTCCGATGTGGTCGGAAACCGTGGTAACACCCAAAGCTAGACTTCCTAAGCTCGAGATTGGAGCTGCATGCCCCACTCTCTGTTGATGCCCGTCTAACTGAGCCCTCCGTACAGCACTTTGCGTAAGTTGGCGCCACCACTCCAAGGCCGGGCCCCTCAGCAGCGCGTGTCACGGCGTACTCGATTCGCTGCAGCGCATCCGCCTCTTGCACCCCGCTCGCGGCGAAGTAGTTGTTGAGCATGAAGAGCCACGTCCGCACGTTCGCGTCGCGTTGACTTGGGTCGAACGACTCGGGTTTCTGCGGCTTGAGTGCGCTTCGACGTTCCGGCAGCGCTTCCGCGCCAGTCGACGTGGTGGGTGCAGGAGATGGTGCGGCATGACCTTGAGGGTTAGAAGCGAAATTGCGAAGCTGTTGCATTTCGGCTCGTACCTGACGATTTTCCAACGTCAGCTGTTCGAGTTGGCGCATGAGCTCGGCAAGCGTGACGGTGTTGCCCATGTCGTGGGGGAAAGCGTTCATGGATTCATCCATCTTCGTTCGACAACTCCAAGTCTGCAAGTCGGCACTGCGGGACGATGACGTCGTAGTCTCGTCGTCGACGGTCGCTCGTTGGAAGTCGCTCCCCGCGAAGGCTCTGATACCAAGTGTTAGGCCCGACGGCCTAAGTCCGCTAAAGAATTAGCGGGGTCAACGAAGTCGAGGATAAACGCGGCGGAAGACTTTGGCGAAAGAGAGTGTTGGCGAAATAGGCGAAGAAGTAACTGAGTAATTGAAGAAGAGTTGAATGAGAATTGGTTGATTATGACAAGTACAAGCAAGGTTAATGTAGCGACCAATAGAGAATGTTGGAAAGTAGTTTGTGGGACAAGGAATTGGAATGCTAGAAAGGTAGAGTGCCACGTGGCGGTTGGGAAATCTAGGAAATCCAAGGAAATCCCAAAGGGATTGGATGAGGATAAGTTTGGATGGGGTTGGGAGCATTGTTTAGGGTAAACCACCCTTGAACAGTAAACTAACCCGTAACAATTGAGATTTTTTTTGCCACAGTGCAAAGCGATTTAGTTCGAACTTTGAGAAATTTCGAAAGATCACATGCGCCCTTAGGGCGCGTCCTTTTAGCTCGTTCGGGCTCAATTTGATGCTTCACGTTTGGTCGAAATGGGTACTTAGCAGAATGAATATGAGAATGACGCGACCTCACATTACTAGCAAAAACGTTCGCTAGTGACTAAGGGCGTCTTCTACGAGTTCGTTTACAGTTCATCTTGAGGTTTCTAACCCTATTTTCTGGTTGTAACTCTTTGAAACACGACACTGTAGAGTTGCGTCTTCAGTGACGGGCCAGAATGACGCGCTTTGGACGTCTACAGTATCGTATGGCACACGTTAAAAAGCTGTTACCGTGATACGCGCGGTCTCCTCGTACCGGGTCCTGTCCGTTACCACAATATGTAAATCCGCCCAACATCCAGTCGCACGGAAATAGCAGAACGTTGCAAGACGTCGCGTATTGCACCCGGACACCAAAATTGCGTCCAAACCTGGCTGTGCGAGCTCCGTCAATTTTGGCACAGCTGTTTTTCAACTGGGGCAGGTTAACGCCTCGCGGCCCATGTCAAATGTTAGTCGGATGACGAGTTTTGTGTGGCCCGGGCTATGCGTCGGCGTGGTGCAATTTCATTTTGCGCTTCGTCTGAATGTGTAGACTCTTTAGCTGACTAGAAGTTATAAAGGATTTCTTACCTAATCAAACTCGAGGGACACGCCCTAAATTTCTGATTGTGATGAGCAATTCTGTTGTTATAGGGGGCATCGACTGACCTTGCTCATCGCGACTTGTCGCCCTGTCATTTTCCGCTCAACAGGCTGCCATGGCGGTGACCTAATCCGTTGTGCTATAAAATCTATACTCTCTGTTGCAACCAGACGAGTCGAGATTGTGTTTGAATTTCTCGCATCCCCCTCCGTTCAGTTCCGTTCCGTTCCAATTCGTTCAGATTACAGTAGACTATTTTCGAAATATGCGGTAGCAGAGCGAGGCAGAGCGAGGTTATTCTCGCGCTCTCTGAGGAGCGGCGGGAAGGTGGTCGCAAGGGGAACTCGCCGAACGGGCTAGGAGTAAATGAAGAGGGGGCTCACGAGGCCCCCCTCAGTCGTATGCACAGCAATATCTGGTCCGTGTCGGGTCAAACGGTATCGATTCCGGTTGTACTGTATCGATGTCCTGACTGAACAGGCGGTGACAAGAGCTAGAGGGTTGTGTGCGTCCAGCCCAACCGATCATAGACCACTTGTTTGTAAAGCGCCGCGAGGAGACTCCTCGCTAGCAAATTCAAGTACTGTACTAGACGAACATTGGCGAACCTACGTACTTGCTGCGCTGACCTTTGCTCCGTTACCCGCGCCGCCAGCTCACACCGTCAGTTCATAATGGATTGCGAGGGTGGGATCTGGAAGGAAAGATGCTCCGCCGTGACGTGGATGAATAGGCTAGGCGCGAAGGTGCAGGAGAAGGAGGCGAAGCAGGAGGGCAGGAGGGAGCAAGAGCAGCCACGGATAAGGACGAGATAAGTTGGAGATAGCTCAACCGTTCTTGACACGTGTCGAATATCTGACGAACTTGCCTTAAGCCCTTCATATCTCCCGTCATATCCCTGTGACACTCCATCACGTGACGCTATCATCGTGCTCCCGTGCACTCCTCGTCATTGTCACCCACGTTCACGTGGTACGTAGTACTGTACTAGAGTCTACTCAACATCATCTAGTAATTGGAAGATATCCCATCCCAACTCAACTCAACAGCGAGGCGAATGAGCAGCAAGTACCATCTGCAAAATTGCGTGGTCCCCAAAGTGTCCCGAATCCGTGCTCTCCCACATCTGACAACAATCCGTCCCGAAACTGTCCCGAAAGACCCTTTCGAGACAGTTTAGTACTGTAGCCATTTAGGGGCACTTTTTGCGATGTCCCGAAACTGACTTGTGGCAAAAATCTGTCTTGTAACAGCAGTTTGCATAACTCGCAAACATACCATAATTAGCAATGTTGTTCGTAAACATTCCCAAAGCCACTGTTGTGAAACAGCTCACACACGCAAAATAAAGTGCAGGGTTCAACATATAGTACATGCGACAACAAGTCAGAGTCCGCTGCATGTCGGCCCTACAACAACATTATCGTTCTTGTCCATCCGATGCACACGTTCGGCAATCACCCACCTAGAACAGAAACCTGTTCACAAGGTATATTTCTGGCTGTGTGAAACTGGGAACGATGTGTGCCAGACCCAGAATGCTGTCCACCTCTAACACCGCGTAATCATCTCTCCCGGTGGTGAGCTGCAGACGTCGGCACCCTGTGACAGGACACACACTCTCCAGCTCGGTGTAGTACTTGACGAGTGCGCGCCGCACTACCTGCTGTGTAGCATCGGTGAAGTGAAAGAGCATGAGGCATCGTCCGTACCAAACCTGATCACCCTCCCCTTCTATCTGCACATGGCTGAACTTCTGCTCCGACGGCGACGCCTTGATTATCTGGCCCTTGTCGCCTCGATCCATGCGGTCGTGCGGTGGGATGGCCAGCGCCGTGTGCACCTACACGGATCCAACAAGACACATTGGTTTAGTGTTCAAATGATGTTGAGGCCCACCAACAACAAACGTTGCTGCAGTTCAGATCTACAAGGGGCACCGTGTGAACAACCCTCGTACACAAGACACTGTGTCGCATGCATGCCTCACCTGCACCGTATCTGCCACGACGCCGACTGCTCTCATCACCGCCACCGCTCTAGCCATGACTTCAGGACCAAGAGCCTCGCTGTACTCCGACCACACCGGATCCATCTCGACATTCACTTCCATGCGACGGCTTCGTTTGGTGAGGACCCGGATGTTGTGCTCGACCGCCTGGTTGCATGTAGCGCCATGGAAGCAGATTTACATTAGTAATACAAGCATGAGCCTGAAGAGACATGTGCAGGCTGATCCACCAACCGACCCCCCCTCTACATCCACCCCCCATTCCCGACACCACTCCTGAACGGATGCCCCGTTACTAAGAACCTAGCTCAGTGTAACCATTGCACTAACTGTACATGTGTGCGGAGACTTACCAAGCGCATGGCGGTCTCGTAGACTCTGGTGCCACCCTCGGCTCGCACCAGCCCGCGGATGGCGGCCTCCCGCGAATGCCTCACTGTTATGTCGCGGCTGACATCCTTCCAGTTAGTGTTCTTCGCGTGACGCTTCACAGACGACTTATGCTTTGCCTCGTACATGTTGGTAGAGTACTCAATCGGCATGCCTCGCGTCAGGATAGCGGCCGGGAGGTGGGACAGCTCGTGTACCTTCACGATGAGAAAGCCCGACTTCTGGTTCGGAAACACGACCACCAGCTTATCAATGAGCCTGTTTTGGAAACCAACAAACACAGCGTTGTCATGCCACACAGTGGGTTTAACAGCCTGTCAGACCACACCATAAAACACCACGACAGCTGCTCGCAGCCTCACCTTGCTGTCATGGTGACCATGTCCGCAAGGGACTGCTCCGTGTGATACTCCACGCAGAAGTAGGCTTTGTACCATTCATTGAACATAACGGTAGCCTCACCGATGTCCTCATACCCGGGGAGGTGGGCGATTAGGGGAACGATCTGCATCATCGCACGGTGTTCCCATGCCGCATACTGTGCCACAGTGCGGAAGTAGTATGAGGGGTCTGGAGCTCTCAGCACCGACGCCGGTGTGTCCACAAGCACAGCCCGGCAACGCCTGCTCAAGAAAATGGGGGAGTCAGCGTGTGGCCACTGGGCAAGAGAGCCATAACGATGAGGTCGAAAGGTGCATCTTAGTGTTCCTCCAAACGAACAATGGCGATATAACATCCACCTATCAACGGAGGCTGTGCACGGGAACCTACGGCCAACCACACTCCCATGCGTACCACCAGCCCCTCACACCTCAACAGCTCGGCGCGTAACGTGGGTGTAAGTCTGCCAAGTATGCACTTCATTGTGTGCACCCATAGACCCTCGTCCACCACGTGTAAAATGCAGATGCCGATAGCCTCGTACATATTACCCCATGGCGTATCGAGGAACGCCCAGTCCCAAAGTGCACACTGCACACACGGTCACCACGCGCATACCCACACTCGATGATACGCAACATGGTGGCAATCACCACGGCAAATGCAGAAATCCACAAGGAGCACACGCTTCCATGGGCATCTTACCGCGACGTAGTGTGTGGAGAATGCCGTCTTTGCGATTTCACGCTCCTCGGGAGTGCTCTGCTGCATCAGCTCAAACACCTGTCGCTGCCCTTCTACTGTCCGTGGTGGGAAGGTTTCTGTTACATTCCTCAAATCCCACCAGCCCACATTGCACAATGAGCAGGGCTGCAAAGCCGTCGCAGCCATCGTGCATGTGACAGTTGATGACTCCGGGTGATCACAGACGTAGTCTGCTAGCAACGGGTGCACCGTCATCTCCACGCCCTCAGCGTTTCTCACAGTGAGGCCGCCACTGCGAAGGAGACATTGCTTCGCAGCGTGAGTACGACACCCCCAGTTAAACGGGGTCAACATGAACCGCATGGCGTGTAACAAATCGGCATTGGGACCACGGTAGTTACATGACTGACCTGTCCCGACTCGCGAATGCCATGAGGGGCCCTACAACTACCCGCAGCATCGCTTGCATCACCTCCGCTTTCTGCTCGGCCGACAATTCCGCTGGCATGGGTGGAAAGATGGCAATAAGCTCGGTAGCTCCAAGGGTCCAACGCAACGCCTCGGGGATGTTCAACAATGTGAACTGGAGGGGATGCGCCGTACGACGCCCATTGAAGCTCAGATGAGTCACATCACTGAACAGTATCACGCAGGCCACGATCCCCTGTCCATCCATAGCTCCCTGCCCGAATGTGGAACATGCTCTCAGCAACCGCCAAGTGACAGAACGATGTGTTCCCCGACATCACAAAGCAATGATGCTCACCGTTGCTTCCTTAAACCATTTGCATCCAGACGCATTGCGGTACACCGTCACTCCGTCCACCTTCTCCTCCTTCCATTCCGTTGCGAAACCTTCCACCCCTGACATCCTCTCCCACAATGACAGAAATACATCCACGATCGGACGGTGTCGTAACGTCAAGACGCCGAGATCACCATCAAGTACAATCTCTGTCTCCTCCCAATGCTCGTGTGCTTCCAGCACCTCATCCTCCCACTGTTCTAGGTCTCGATGGGTCTCCCACGTATCCAAGTCGTTCGGTGACCAGTTCCGAGCCTTAAACAACTGTATGATGTCGGTTATGGCCTTGTTAGGAAGGTTATACTTGCGGGCGATGTACGCAAGCTGCGCACAAATGTCTACCTCCAGGTCGGACTCTCCTGACTGGTCCGATCCAGCCGCATTCGACGCGCTGTCTGTCTCTTGTGCCTCCTCCACATCCGCCCTTTCCTCGCTACACTCACTATAGGCGTCCCCTCTCTGGCCATCGCCCGCGATATCCATGTCTTCGCGATTGTCATCCCTATAAACGTAAGTGTACGTCGTCCGTGGATACTCATGAAAACGTCCTACACGGATGCCAAGAGTAGCTAATCTCTCTTGTTCGGCCAGGCACTTCTTTGATCTGTAATGATGCGCCCGTAAACGCTGAAAGTTGCGGAAGAGGTCGCCACAAAACTCACAAAGTTCCCAGGGCATCACTGGTCTAAAGCTCTAGGACGAGGATTCCTTGACAGTCAAACTTGACTAGGGTTTGGCAATGTCGAATGCCTCTGTTTGTACCTATACCCATGGGCTCTGCCCATGCTTGGGGTGGTTCCGAGATACATTCGGGACAGATCTGCATGTTCGTTACACGGTACACCACACCGTCTACATCATCTTTGCCGGGGGTTCATGGAGCACACGTTCATAGTATACGTTTATATGCGTGTAGGTAAGCGTGTAGTATTCCACAAAAACGCCAACACACCACTGAGTGCTTACTATCACGAGCCACGTCCGGCGGAACCATAAGGCGTCCACCCGTGATGGTTATGGCCTTCAAAGACCATATCTACTTGTCGCAGGGCCTAGAACAATAAACAAAACTCAAAACTCGCACTGCCGATGAGTAGCTCCTCTACACCCCATCACACTCGTCTTGACTGTCCTTGCGGCACCTCTTGCATTCGTATTCTGGTAACAGCCGATTCATCATGGACATGAAGAGAAGTGCTTCGTGATATGTGGTTGGACGCCCCACATCTGCACACAACAGCCGATAATCTTCGTCACACCAAAACGACGACTTGACACACAAAGAAACACCACAGCAAGATTTATCATAGGCGGTGTGGGCATCAGCCGGCCTTCGAGCCATACGGGTGTGGATGCTCACGCTACGAGGTCCCTCTGGAGCAGAATAGGTATAGCCACAATGTTAGGAAATGCATGTAGTGAGTATGCCGCGCGATGCTATTGTGGATATCACCCGTGACTGACCGCTTACCTCTGGGGTTGTTACGCGGAACCGAGTGAGTGGCTGGACTCCCACGGCTGGGGCCAGGCACAGCATTAGCTGGTGAGCCACTGATAGATGGAGCGGGCCCAGATGACACATGCCTGGAGTTGCTTGCTGCCCCAGACGGGCTTGCATGGGTCTCGCTTGTACGTTTCACGGCATCATCGACTGCTGCAAGACCCCCCTCCAGCTTCACGGTAGTTGAAGGCGACGCAAGTTCTTCAGCTTTAACAATGCACGAAGGTTTCGCATTCGCCGCAAACGGCGCCGCCGCCACACGTTCCGCGTGCCCTGCGGCCGCTGGTGCGCTCCCTGTCTTCGAGTCACCCTCGGCTCCCGCGACCTCTCCAACAACTTCCGCGTTTATGGGCGCCATTCCCCGCCTCTCCTCCGCTGTGCCGTCTCGAGTCTCTTCCACCATGCCTGCGACTGAGGCCTTTACTCCCGCGGCGACATCGTCATGGGTGGGTTCCGCCTTTTTCCCGGCCGCACTCCTGGCGCGGGTTAACGACACCACATGCTGTGGTGCCTCGGTCTTCGCATCCTCTGCCGCGTCCGCGCCATGAACTTTCTGTCCACGTTCAGCCATGTTGGACGCCACCGTGTGTTTCCCATGATCTGTCTCTGCTACCACTGGCGGGGCCACCAAGTTCCCGTCCTCGGTCTCCTCCTCCTCCGACGTGTCCAACGTCCCGCCATCTTCCACATCGGCGTCCTCAGTCACACCATTCGCTGCGCCATCTTGTGTCTCATCCGCATCAGTCGACGCGTCACCCTGTTCAGCATCACGCCCATCGTCCAAAAACCCCCAATCCCCTCTCTCCGTTTCTGCGTCCAGGTGCCCCGCGTGTCCAAGCGCTGATCCGGTTCCGTTGCCTATGGGCGCCACATAATCTCCTGGAGACTCTCCCTCCCATACTCCAGGGCCATTTCCGTATTGTTCCTCAGTGTCTTTGAGCGGCGCGTTTCCGAGGAGCTGTAGACGAAGTAGGGCTCGTCTCTCGGCTACTGTCCTACAGTGCGTATTTGAGCGAGCCTCCATACTCAGGTGAGGGATGGAACAGCGACAATGAAACCCTAGCTTCAAGGCGCGGTGTTATCTAACACTCTCGTGGTGGAGTCACGCGACCGGCATCTGGTACGCACTATATGCAGCTGATGACATGTTTCGGACACAATACTGGTATACAGGCTTGATGCACACTGTAAACATCTTACCACCACACAACACTGGCCATGGCTATGAGGTTACACCATTAGCTGCACAATGTTCATTTACAGTCCATTTGTAACACAATGCCTGAGCCAGTTTCAAGGAGCACCGATATGTTACTATACCTCCAAAATAAGCCACTGGCGTAAACTGACAACCGTCAATAAGTGCTAGCTAGTGGCATTATTATGGAAAATGACAGTCGTTTGCAAGTTAGCAAGCATTCATCTCTTGGAATACGCAACACTCCACTCCATGAAATCAGCCAGATACTCTGCACGCCAGGTCGCGCTCGTGCCATTGGCATGGATGGCTTTCACGTCTTGAAATCCAGACTCCACCAAAGCCTGCATGAACTTCATGACGTATATGCCACAGTCGTCATCGTTCTGTTGCTGCGGAACCTGCAACCAGGGACGAACACGAGGCAGGCTATTAGGTACACCGTGAGATGCGGGTAATGGGGAAAGGGTTCTTAATACATACCTCAATCGTAGCATGTTTTATGCCGCTCTCCCACACGTCCGCCTCCAACTCGGTCACAACCGGGTGCAGGAGCATCAGTTGGTCGCGCAAGAATCTGAGGTAAGCGACGGGGTATCAAACATGCATAGTTTTTGAGTTGTATGCATCTCCTAGGAGCACGGACGCGCCATTAAGGATCAAGCTAGCCTCACCTTCTTATGGGACCGTCAAAGCCCACGTGTTGGGATCGTGAGTCCGCGTGTAAGATGCGTGGGGGTTGCGGGATGTTGTGCTCCCCCACGTCCGTGTCGTTCCCCAGCACTACAAGGCTCCAATGTGAACTGGTCGCGGGGATCACAATGTTAGAACATCCTGGCAGGGGTTCCTGATGTGTTTACAACATACGCTCAGCGCGACATTGAATAGAAAAGGTGTGCAGTAGACTCACTCAAGGTTGATCGGGATGAAAACCCATTTGAAGGTCAACACGTTTACGCCACATGTATAGTCAGTCCATGGGGAGGCTCTTGACTTGCGTTGCATTATGTCATACAAAAACGTAGAGCAGTATAGCCATTCGCGACGGTCCAAGTCGTGCTCGAATTGGAGCATTCTGAAAAGACGACACACGTTAGTTACGGCAATACTCACAAAATCATAGTATGGATGTACTTTATCACACGTTTACGAGGGACGTTATAGTAACACTCACATGCCCCACCACTCGATGATGTCCCCGCTGACCCATTTGTCAGGCTGCAATGCATTGGCGGTGCGGGGAGTGATCGTCAAATAGCTGCCTCCTAACGGATATGGCATGGCATACTCCTTAAATTGTGCGCCACCCTTTTTGCCACGCCCTCTCGGCATCTCTATAACTCACGCTGGACCTACCCGTACCGCCGATATAGTAACAAACGATGGCTGACAGTCCCGGCCAAATGCTAAGGTGGAAGGCCTCTTAGTAACTCAATCTCTGTCTAAAGCTCGTTGTGAGTACGATTGGCGAAACCCTCGGCAATGATTCGGTGGTAGATGCTCGTGAGACAGTTTTGGGACAGTTACCAACTCCGAGTCGTTCGAACATCTTGGCTTACCGCCAAATTCTGGAGGTTTAGGCAAAACGGTAATGAGGTTTACATGTGTGTTTTTGGTGTGTTCATATGGTACATGCAGAAGATTGTATGCGGTACCGTACGATTCCGTGCGGCACCACAATTAGTAATACCCGAGGGTTGGGAAGACCCCCCATGACATTGCCTGGCTGTCACTTGAACAGCCTGGCGATGTGACCCATGTTTCGGTGTCTTTCACAGCCACCAACTCGAGCTGGTGCGGGGGGTGTTGGGCTCGTGATGTGACAGCTGGACGGCTCATCCTGACAGTCCAGCACTACATCGGGCATTGGAAGGTTGACAACCTCGCGAGTCGACACAAGACGCTCCATCAACGGTCCAGCGTTGGGTCAGGGGACTCGTATCAACGAGCCAGGGCCGTTGGCGAGGTCGATCCTGTGCCTTTTTGTTCATTTGAGGACGCAATGGTCCAACCACCTCGTGCTTTATTGACGTTGTGCGTTGGTGTAATCTTAGTTGTAGAAGTCATCGCGACCATTTTCGCACTGGTTCTCTAAATAGAGGGCAGTGCTTCTGACCTTTCACCATGAGTGCAGCGGTTACACGGCCGCAGCGTGATAGACGTCCGCCACGCAAGCTAGCAGGTTTTGAAGGCGCCAAAACTGGTGGCAGGGGTAGGCCTTCCACTTCTACATGGCCTGTTGACGTCGAGGCTACAAGGGCATTCTTGAGAGAACACCGCGTGGCACACCCGACACCCAAGGGGTACTTGAACGCGGAGCAATCCCCTGGCCGCGGAGCAGCGGCTGGCCAAACTATTAAGCCGTACGGGTACACCGTAGGGGAGAGGCTTGCGATTCAAGCGCAGCATCGGGGTTTACGACGGAGGCCGTTGACACACGTCGAAGCTGCGGAAGAAGTAAAGCAGGTGGAGCAGGGCGCAACTGGTGAGTGTTGCTTGGCTGTTCTATCTCTTTGCGTAATGTTAGTTTCTTGCTTTCATGAATCGTGCTGTATCTATTACGCTACCTGCCTGATTGGTGCGATAGAGACCCGCCCTGCAGAGAGTGACCCCATACCCGTGGCGAGCGGCGGGACCGATCATGGCGGGCCTCGAAGCTGTGAGCCAAACCTAGAGGCGTGGGTGATGTACAACGAAGTCCTTCACACGGTGCCGTTTTCATACTGCACCTCCGAGGAATCCGCCGGGAGTACTTCAGAGTCCGAGGAGTCGTCTAGCAGTGGCGAAAACACCGCGGACGAGGATTGGGTGGCTTCCGGCAGCGATGCTGGTAATGAATCTGATGTACCGCCTGTGCCCAATTCCAACGCTAACCCACCAGGCACCCAAGGCACTCTCGTGAAGCCTGCAGCACCTGCCAAACGCGTCCGACGTACCAAGAAGCCACCCAAGGAAAAAATAGCCCGAGAGCACAGACCCGTCGTGCGACAAGTACGCGCGTGCGGAGAACGAGAGAACAAGATGCCAGGGCAGGGCGGAAGCATCTACAGGCGGAGGCACGAGGTTGAAGAGAAACTGCAGCCAGCGAAGGCCGAAACTCAGCAGGTGGCGTCGGGGGCGCAGGGGCACTATCAGCAGCCCAACGTACGATCTGGAGGCGTGGAAGCAGTCGCGAAGCCGGGTGATGCCAGCCATCATGCACCGGCATCACCTCAAGCTGGTCCGAGCCGTACGCAAGCCGTGTTGGACGCAGGCTCACCCGACCATGGTCGTAGGCGCTCTGCTGCCTCCGAGTTGAACCCATCTGCTCTCGTCACACCACAGAGGAAGGAGGTGTCCATCATTGCGCGTGGGCAGTCAATGTGCAAACCGACGGGACAGTATTGTTCTCCTAGGCGACAACAAATGCTCTCTCCCGCATCTGTGAGGGTTGCTGAAGCTCCGAGGTCCCCATTAGTGAATCACTCCCCCGCCCACGCAGGTCGATCGGCGAACCTTGGCGCTGGACTCCCTGGAATGGTACCGACCCCTTTCTTTGACGGTGGCGTGGGCCAGGCTGCCGCCATGGATGTCGAGCACGGTGACTCGTCTCCCGAGGAGGACACGAATGGCAAGGACGAGGCGGATCGTGATGTGTTGGAGCTGCATAGGCTGCTGCGCAACATTCGCGCACGGAATGGTGGTGATTTATCGGCGGTTCTTGGAGCCGTTGGAAGTCGTGGCACCGCTATGCTAGGCGCAGATGAGATGGAGGTGTTGGGGAGTATTGGCAGCGGTGCCCCCCAACGTGGCGAACGAGGCAAGGCTCCAGTCTCAGGGGGGCATGGTAGCCCGCACCCTTCTACAAGTCACGGACATCGTCACGCTCGTACTGCTTCTCGCGGGTTTCAGCCTGAAGTGCCGCATACTCAACCTTCTATACCTGCACCGCTTCCCTCACAGCCCGCCCCCAAACCCCAGGCAGGTGTCCGCGGGACTCATGCTGCACCTCGTGCCCAGATGAATCGGGGCATGTACAACAACCGACTGGGGAAGGAGCGTGAGCACCTCATCAACACCCACGGTGCTGCACACGGATCCGGTCCGCCGGCCTCAGCACCACGTGTTGGTGGGAGTGACAAGGGGCAGCCATCTTACCGGACACGCGGAGCCGGGCACCGCGACCTTGGCGCAGGGGCGGACATGGGAAACCAGGGCCGTGGTATGAAACGGGAGAGGAACGTTCCTCAGATGACTCTGATCATCGACTATGATCCGGAGAGGAGCGGCGAGGGCCTGATTCGGGGCATGCCGTCACCGGATGAGATCGTGGTGAGTTGGCGCATGTATCACACCCCGTCACTCCCCCCAAGGTTGAATTCCGCCCATGCATACGTGTTGGCGGATCGTGTAGGGAGAGTTTGCTTCCATCGAGTCGATGAAGTTGCCTTTGATTGTCAAAGGCATGACCTGGCCTTGTCTGACCGATTGTTGGGCTTTGATATGCACGTGTTCACGCCCTTTCTCTATGCTGCGAGCCCGTCGCCAGGTGCACGCCAAGTTGGCCATGGACTTCCTTCTCCGCAACTGTTCGGCTCGAGGTGTGACGCTGTTCCCCTCCAACACCGTGAGGAACGAAGCGTTGCGTATCATACTTCGAGCCACGCACGACGTGAGCTACATACAGGTCTCAGTGGCCATGTCGAAGACGGAATACAGCTCCAAGGTGCACAAGGTGTGGACGAAGTTCCGCAACGACTCCTCGTCGTTCGGCCGCTACAAGATCGTGTGCGGCCTTGGGATAGACGTCGTGGGCAGGGGGGTGTACAAGATGAAGCTCGACCCGAAGAAGAAGGCGGAGTGGTGGGAAACACTTGGCCCACGTGAGTATTGGTGCGCACCTCTTCCAGCCTACGTCTCACCCCCCCCATTCTATGTTGGCATGCCGCTAAACTCCCCTACACGTATGTATCCCTTGCTCCCCTTGGCAGAGGAGCACGAGGGGCACAAGGTCTCCTCGTGGAGCATTGCAGTGGGAGACAGGAGGCCCTTCACCAGCGCCCTCTTCTTTGCGGCGTGCAAAGCGGCCTACCCGGAGTGGGTCACGGCTGACGGCATCCTCGTGCTCGTCCCCTACCACATTGCATGGGTGCTGTTTTCGGTGAGTGTGCGGTGCGTGTATGGCCATGGGGATATTGGTGCTTAAAGGTCCCAATAAAGCTAATATGCTCGTTGTGGTGTGTATTTCTTGGCAGTTCGACTATGGCATGACGAATACGAAGAGCAAGTCGCTGACCCTCTCACAGAGCCCACAGACCAACGATCGGGAGATGGTGGAAGTGGTGGCTGAGGTAGAAGAGGCCATCAAGATGTGGCTGGTTGTCGCAAAGGGGCGGTTGTATGTGCCTGAGCTAGGGGCGTTCAAGTGGGGTGAAGCCGGTCTATTCATCAACGAGTCCGGGTTTCAGGAGTACCTGCCGGAGGAGTATCGGGTGCGCTCAGCAGCGGAATCGGGTGACAAGGAGCAGTGGATGGCGTGATCGCAACAGGATGTGTCATGTTGGGTTGGGCCATGGATGGGGCAAGCCTGGGATGTTGTGGGCGCTGGAGGGGGGATTGCTGGATGCCTTTGTGCAGCTCAGTGTGGTTGTGCCTGTTTTTTTTCTTGTTTTTTGTCCACTTGGTCTATCGGTGCTGCATAATAACCTATGCTGGGGCCGTAGTAGGGCTTTGATTTCTGGGGGTGGGATTGCGTGGTAGTTTGTCGGTTTGTGTGCGGTGCGTCTACATGTATGCAGTAAATTACTTATAAATCATTTATAAGGCGATGTTAAATAGTGAACACGAGAGGGGAAAAGCGCCCCCATATGGCAACCCTGTGGGTCCTCCATAAACATGTCCCGAATGTGTCCCGAATCTGTCCAGGCCGATGTGCTCCTTGCGTGCCACTGTTCTGTCCCGAAACTGTCCCGAAAGACACTTTCGAGACAGCTAACCCAGACACTTTCGAGGCAAAATTGAGTTCGTCTCGAAAGTGTCTTTCGGGACAGTTTTTCACCTGTCCCGAAAATATTCGGGAAGAGTCTCTCGGGACGGTTGTGAGACATTACATTTCGGAGATGACACATCCCCGATATTTTCGTCCTCAGATGCGCGACGCGTGTCGGAGATGACGCCGCACACTGTCGTTGACGCCAATCAGTTCGATGCACAATGGGATCCGTCGTTATGCGTTCGATAAAGACAATTAGAACAACTAGCAGGGCGAGCTTGTGACGCCAGACTCATCTTCCAAGCTAGCCGCCTCGAAAAACAAGCGACTGCGGTCGCCGCGTCGAGACAGATCGTGGCTGTAGAGTAGCGTGAGAAGCCTCATCCTGCATTAAATCGATGCTGGTGGTTGGACTGTGGGACCTGGCTCGCTGCTGTGGGATCTGGCTTGCGGCGGTGGGACCTGGCTGCGAATGATCGCCGTGTCGCGTTTCCAGAGCACCTGCTTGGGGTGGATTTCAGCAGCCTCGCCCTCTCTCTTATCCACCAAAGCGGCTTCTTGGACTTGGCTTCAACTCGCCCTTTGTATTCCGAGGAAGCTCTCCACACAAGAGAGTACGAAATTTTCAAGCGGAATCTCCGCGAATAGATAGTTTAGCGAACCAGAGACCCCGACCTGCAGAGATGGACAAACAAGGACGCGTTCCGGATCAAGCAGCTGGGCGCTTGGGAAAGTTGCTGGGGCGCGATGCCGAGGGCCAGGGCCGCATCACTGGAGCAACCTTTGATGGGCCCCAACGAAAGACCTGCGGATACGGGCATTCAGGATCGAGATCCTGTTCAGGACGAATCAAGCCGTTACTAGGACAAGGCCGGCGCTTGCGGACCTTGTTGTCAGAGCGGCAGGGGCCAGTCCCCACTATTGAAGGCAACATGTGTCCGTGTGGGCCAGATTTAGATGCGCCTCATGAATCGAATGAGGAGGGGAGCTGTCTCTTGGCGGAGCTATTGAGGCGGCATGAACGACTTGCTTCTGAGGCGCCTCAAGAGTCGCAGATTTCGAATGAGGAGGAGAGTGGCCTCTTAGCGGAGCTATTGAGGCGGCAGGCACAACTTGAACACCCAGTCATGGCGCCTTGCGTATATCAACCTCGGTTGTCTGTGACGGCCCAGGAACCTGCGCCGCTTCTGTCCCATTCAAATGCGTCCTTTGAAGTCCCTGGATTGGAAAGAGCCATGATGGAGACTTATCGAGAGCAGCAGCGGCGGCAACAGCAGCAGCAGCAGCAGCAGCAGCAGCAGCAGCAGCAGCAAGTGGGAGGGGAGAATAGGACAATATATGGTTTCAAAGCCACCAGAACAGAGAGTATGGTGGTAACTGACCTCGGTGATGTCAATACCAATCACAAAGAGGCAGCGACCATCGGAAAGAGTATGGTGGTAGCAGGCTCTGGTGATGCCAACAACACCGTTGATAAAGACGCAGCAACCAGAGTAGAGAGTATGGTAATAGCAGGCTTTCGTGACACCAACACCATTGATAGAACCGCATCAGCATCAGCCTCTCTCGTGCAACAGCAGCAAGTGGCGGTCACAAGCTGGGTGGCACAAGCTGAGCTGGCAGGGCTGACTCTGCCGCCCGATCTGATCCGAGAATCTGCACATGCCGCGCGCTTTGCGCAGATGCAGGTGCAGGTGGAGGAGCAAGGTGGGATGGGGAATGTGGCTCTGCGACCGAACCTTGAGAACTCTCAACTGCGAATGGAGGTGGAACAACCGATTCTGGCTTTCCCAGAGCGGCTGGAGGAGGGCGGCTGCTTGGGAATAACTCAAGAGGAGGGGAGGATGCTTGAGGTTTTGATGTTGGAGGATGGGGGGATGCAGATGCATGGGGGAGGGATCATGCAGGAGGGAGGGTTGATGCTGGACGGAGCGACGATGCAGGGGTTTGGGATGATGCAGGGAGGAGGGATGCGGCAAAATATTTCTTTTGAGGTGCCTCTAAAGTGTGCGTTACAGGAGGGACAAGGGAGCGTGAGCGTGAACCTTGCATCTGCAGGCGAGCGTACTGGGCCAGGCAGCCCGTGCCTTATCTCACCGGAGAATGCATGGCCTCCAGCCTCCCCTGCATCAACCCCTTCTCCTGCTGCTGCTGCCGCCGCCTATCCACACACTGCTTTCTTCTCGCCCAGAACTCCTGGTGGTTTCTGCACGCCTGCCTCTGCTGGTGCTTGTTGTTCACCCATTGCCACTCCTAGTGCTTGTCGTGAGGGGGAAGGAGAGCAGGCCTTGACATTGCAAGAGCCTCCTGCCACGTGGGTGCCCCGGGTTAGTTCGAAGTTGGTACCGCAGTGGCTGGAAGTGAGGGGAGTGGAGGACGTGACGGCAGTGAGAAAGGAAAAGAGGGAAGTGAGTGAGGCAAAGCGGAACGGAGAGGAGGACTGGAGGCCGCGCATTCGAACACGATTGGATGGGAAAGCAGCGGGGCTCGGACGCATACAGGCAAGGAGCATGAAGGAGAGGCACCGCCGTGATCGCATCAGGTGACTTGATCCTCTTCTTGCTACACCTCCTTCCTATTTCCTCTCCTTTTCTCCCTCCCTCTCTAACCTCCGCCTCAAAGTTTCAACCTTCCGTCCTCTCCTCTTGTTCTATCCTCTTTCCCCCTCTTCCACACTACCTGTCCCATTCTCTTCAACCCTTTTCCCATCCAACATTTGCTCCCTGCTCTAACTTTTGCTCCCCCCTCTACTTTTCGCCCCCCCTCCTCGTCTTGTGGAGCACACTCTGCTGTCGCCATTGCTTGAACGTTCAGTGGCACTCGGCCTTGTTTGTGAGACCTGAATGAATAGCAGGGCCTGGATCAAGTGAGCTGAGTTCTTATCCAAATGCGGTGCTTGTGTCGATTGTGATTGTATCAGGAGAGGCCTGGAGCAGCTTCATCGAGCGCTACCCGCATCTCTTGCAAGTGCCCAACTCGATACAGCCAGAATGGTGGAGTCTGCGCTCAAGCATATAAAAGACCTTCAGGTACACTCACAGCTTCTGACAACTATAGAATGTCTTTCGAAATCGATGTATTTTTTTTCTTTTGAATTATTATTGTATTTGGCTGACATGTATGTATGTTTAAGCAACGTGTACAAGACAGCCCCTGAGGTGGCTCAAGAGAAGTTTCTGATTTGTGGTACCTGCTGTTTCTGAAGAAACTTTTGGCTTCTGGTGTTGTATTCATCATGCAGGTCCGAATAAAAGCCTTGGAGAATCCAACAGATGCTTTGGTGATGTCAACACCCTGCCATGAAAAGCCGTCGTCGAGATACCAAAATGTGTAAGGGAGGAGGCAGTATGTGTCTCAGCAGTCGGTGCCTCCCGGGTGACTTCTAAGTCGATGTAAACGGCACAGGAGAATCAAAGCCCTGCAGTGGAGAACGTCTAGTAGCACGGCAGGGTTACGTCTCTTTTGTCATCTACAAGAGAGACGAAGAAGTGCAGTCGAGGCTCCTTGTAGCACAGCAGGATTTCCGGTTCGGTGCCAAGTTTCTGTCCACTGACTACTGGTGTGCACAGGGTGCTACAAAGTGACATACTGTATATACTTAGCCATTGGGCATCTTCTTTGTATACGTGCTCTGATGAAGCAATAATGCCTGCGATGCGACCTGTTTCTCCAGGCCCGTAACACATACTGATGGAGCAACGACGTTGTAATGAGAAGACTTCTAAGTTGCTTGAACAAGCGTTTGCTGTTATCTGAAACGCACCCTGTTTTCCGGGGACAGTCCAACACATATTGTACCCACAAAGCAATGGTGTGGTTAAGTTTTTTTGGAGTCAGCAATGGTTTTTTTTTGGGAGTGGGGGAGGAGGGGGGGGGGGGGGTGGGGTTGGGGGGGCGCAGTGGGGGTGGGGGGATCAGCACAGCAAGTGAACAAAACAGCAGAAAGGGACAGAGTGCCAAAGAGAGAGTGAGGTGGGGCTGTCGATCCAAGAGGGGGTGCTGGAAGAGGCTGACCCGGATCGAGGAGATAGGAAGCAGTTGTTGGATTTGATGGGTCAACACCAGAGAGAACCAGCAGAAGAGACCACTGAAATACGAAGCTCCTGTCATGCCCTTCACCTTGTAGCAACAGCTGCAAGTACCAGCAAGAGGTGATTTTGGGTTGAGGAAATAGGAGGGGGTGGTGGATCAAAACCGGAGAGGACCAGCAGAAGAAGGCTGAGAGATGCAGCTCCTGCGACTGGAGAAAAAAAGTACAATCTTTCTTCCTGCATTTCTCTCTCCGACTTGCAGGAGTGGCACTTCTTTTCCCCACTGCGGTGGATGCAGACCAACAAAAGTGGCGCCTCTAAAAGCGTTGCCATTCCCAACTTCCTTTCATTATTCAGCTCCTGCCCCTCCTCTTGCAGCAGCTGTACTTCCCTCCCCTTGCAGCACCAGCCTCCACTTCCCCATTGCACTGACAACAGCCAACAGCAGGCAGCGAAGGTGACACCCTCCTTTGTTTGAGCACCAGACGAGCTTTATTGCAATGCTATATAGGCGAGTGTTGTAGGAGAGAGTTATCAGAGAGCTCAACAGGGGAGCTTCATAGAAGAGTTTAAGGGTACATTTTGTCAAATTATGTATATTATATATGTGTAGGCTGTAGTGGGGTAGCCAATATGGGGTATAGCCCCTTTAGGGTTTCATACTTGTACCCAACTCTAACTTTCTAGTTCATTCATTCCTGCCTAGACTTTCAGACATGGTTTCAGAGCAGTAGGACCGTAGGACCGTCTTTTTTTTTTTTTTTTTTTTTCGGGCCCACCTACCGCTACCCCACGACTGTGACTGCGACTGCGACGTGCTGTGCTGCGTGCGCCGTCTATTTTGCTGCCTGCTGTCTGAGCTGTCTGCTGCTGCTTCGCGCGCAGAGCTAATCCCCGCGCGCTGCCCGCTGTTGCCCCGCGCGTCGCCCTCGCTGCTCGCGCCGCGCCTCGGCAGCCTGCGCGGCTCGCTGCTGCCCAGCGCGCCGCCCTAGCTGCTTTCGCCGCGCCTCGGCAGCTCGCGCGCGGCCCGTTGCTGCCCCACGCACCGCCTGCGCTGCAGCCCGCGCGTGGCCCGCTGCTGCCCCGCGCACCGCCTGCGCTGCCCGCGCCAAGCCTCGACAGCCCGCGCGCCGCCCTACCTGCTCGCGCCGCGCCTTCGCAGCCTGCGCGCGGCTCACTGCTGCCTCGCGCGCTGCCTGTGCTGCTCGCGCACCACCAAGACAGCCCACGCGCAGCTCGCGGCTGCTTTGCGCGCCGCCCTTGCCGCTTGCGCGCTACCTCTGCGGCCCCGCGCACAGTCTCTCTATGCCTGCTGCCTTGGCCTGCTGCCTTTGCCTGCTGCCTTTGCCTGCTGCCTTTGCCTGCTGCCTTTGCCTGCTGCCTTTGCCTGCTGCCTTTGCCTGCGCTGCGATTATGGCGACGCTTAATGTTCTCGCGTTTGAGCCTGACGGTCGCCCGATAGAGTTTGCCACTTGGCTCGACGACCTGCAACTGTTTCTTATGACTGATGCCAAAGACGGAGTTTCACTGTTCAATCACGCGTCTTGCACTTCCGTTGCTCCTGCTGACACTGATGCCGCTCTTGACCGCTCACAGTGGCAGACTCGTGATGCTGCTGCGCGCCTCGCTATTCGCAACCACCTGCCGATCACTGAGCGCGCGCATTTTAGTCAGCACAAGACTGCTAAGGCACTGTATGACGCTGTAGTTGCGCGCTACTCTTCCCCTGCCACTGCAGCCCTAGGTCGCCTCATCCTGCCCTACCTGAGCCCTAACCTGTCCTCCTTTGCCACTGCTTAGGACCTCATCTCTCACCTTCGCGCTAGTGACGCTCGCTTTCGTGCCGCTCTTCCAGCCGATTTCCTCGCCAAGAATCCCCCCCCGCTGTACTTCACCCTCTACATCCTCGTCACCCGCCTCCCTGACACTCTTAGCTCGGTCAGGGGCCACTTTCTCGCCAAAGACCCTACCACTCTTACTGTCGATGACTTCGAGCAGGAGCTCCTAGTAGCAGAAAAGAGCATTCTCGCTGTAGGCACTACTCATGGCACTCCACGCACTCCCCTCTTTGAGGGGTGCTCCCCCTCCCCTCTTGCCCCCTCCTACGCCTCTGCTGCTGCTGCCGTCGATTTCCTTGGTGCTGAGCAAGTCGCAGCTGCTTCCTCTCCTAGTGGAAAGCGCCACAACGCCAGGGGCGGCAAGGGAGGCAGGGGTGGTGGAGGTGGCGGTGGAGGAGGCGGTGGAGGAGGCGGTGGTGGAGGCGACGGTGGAGGCGGAGGTGGTGGGGGTGGTCGTAGGGGTGGAGGTAGTGGGTGGGGCGACGGTGGTCCCGGGAGCGGTGGAGGTGGCAGCGGCGGTAGTGGGGGAGGAGGGAGCGGTGGTGGAGGCGGTGGTGGGGACTGGAGTGGAGCCGGCCAGAAGGGGGGCTCCAGTGGTGGCCAGGGGCAGCAGCAGCAGCAGCAACGTCAGCGCCAGACCCCCACGTCTCAGCAGCTTCATGACTGGTACGCTCAGCGTGGGGCGTCTGGGGGTCCTGGTCGCTGCCCCTATATAATTCACGCAGGTCCCCGCGGTCGCCCATGCAACGGTTTCCACACTGAGTACCGCTGCTTCGCTCGGCTTAGCGACGCCTGGCGCGCCAAGTTTCCTGATGCTACTGAGTTCCCCAACTGGGCAGACCTGCTTAGGCGTGATGTTCCTATCTTTGATCTTGACTATGATGCAATTCTTGCTGCCATGTATGCATTGACTGTTAGTGCTGAGGGTGACTGCTACTTGTGTATGCCGCCTGACCCAGGTATAGAGGCTGCAGCCCTAGGTGCTAGTGAGTCTGCTCTCCCTGGTACTGCGTCGGCTCAGGCCTTGCACACCTCTTGCACTTGACTCTGGTACTTCTTGCTATTTCTTTCACGACAGTACCATAGTCACTCCCCTCCCTGCACCTGTCCCTGTCTCACTGGCTGACCCCTCTTGGGGCCCAGTGCTTGCACAGGCCACGACTGTGCATCCGTGCCCGGCCGTCCCGTCTGGTGAGCTGTCAGGTCTCCACATCCCCTCGTTCTCTATGAACCTGGTGAGCAACGCCGTCCTTCAGGATCATTGGGTTGACACCTTTACTCCTGGAGGACAGCGTGTGGCGATCCTCACAAGCTCCAAGACCCGCCGCCACCTGGCCACGTTCACACGTGAGCCTGGGTCCAGTCTGTACACCCTCACTGCTGTGTCGCGCTACACCCCTTTGTCTCCCCGGCTGTACGCGTCTGCTCAGGTAGCTACCCAGTGTGAGTGTCGCCGCCTGTCGCACGACACTCTCCTGTGGCACCACCACCTTGGTCACCCCTCCGTGCCCTGCCTTCGTGGCATGCACTCTCGCTCCCTGGTCTCTGGTCTTCCCAGGTCTCTGCCCGCCCTCCCTCCCTCGCCTGTGCCGCCCTGCATTCCTTGCGTCGAGGGGCGGCAGCGCGCCGCTCCTCACTCCTCCTCGTTCCCTCCCACAGAGGCTCCACTGCAGACTCTCCACCTGGACGTGTGGGGCCCAGCCCGCGTCCAGGGGCAGGGCCGCGAGCGGTACTTCCTGCTGGTCGTCGACGGCTCCACGCGTTGCACCACGGTCTTCCGCTTGCGCAGCAAGGGGGATGTCCCTGCTGTTCTGATCCCCTGGATCCGCGCTGCTCGTCTCCAGCTCCGCGAGCGGTTCGTATCGGACTTTTCTGTCCTGCGTCTGCACTCTGACAGAGGTGGTGAGTTCACCTCCGACCTTTTGCGAGCCTTCTGTAAGGAGCACAGCATCCGCCAATCGTTCACGCTTCCGGCCTCTCCGCAGCAGAATGGGGTTGCTGAGCGCCGCATTGGCTTAGTCATGGAGGTCGCTCGTACCTCCATGATCCATGCGGCTGCCCCCCATTTTCTATGGCCGTTTGCGGTCCGGTACGCCGCGCATCAGCTCAACCTCTGGCCCCGTGTCTCCGTGCCGGAGACTTCGCCCACACTACGTTGGACGGGGGAGGTTGGCGATGCATCGCGTTTTCGGGTCTGGGGTGCTCGTGCCTTCCTGTGTCTTCCTTGGCTTTCCTCCTGACGCGCCTGGCTGGCAGTTCTACGACCCCGCCTCGCGCCGTGTCTTTGCGTCTCAGGACATCACCTTCGACGAGTTGGTCCCCTTTTACTGTCTCTTTACCTACCGCACTGCCTCTCTACCCCCCTATGCCGCTCTTTCTCACTCCAGGTCCTCCCCAGGCAAACCCTCTCCCCGTCCTGCTCTTCAGGTCCTACTAGGGGTGGTCCTGCTTGGGGTGCGGAGCCT